AGCATTTATACTGGCAAATGGTTTGGATACACCTGTGATAATTCACAAATTGGCTAATGACCTCTCAACTTGGATTCACACACACACACACACACACACACACACACACACACACACACACACAAAAAACGTTCTGGACATGCAACACATACACGCACGCAAACACGCCCACGTACACTTCTGCAAGCGCGCGCACACGCACATACATACATCGGGAATGCTTTCTTCATCAGACGTTTTGCATCTTTTCAAGTATTTACATATTCTTTTGTCGCTCGATTAAACACTTACATACGCACGGCGTCTTCTCTGCGCAGACGCAGACGAGACAAACAAAACCTGCCTGTCATCCTTTTGGTCGAAGTAATATATTCCAGCTCACGACATGAAAGCGCCCCCTGACGACATCAATGTGCAGGACATGTTAACGAGAAAGGAGTGCAGCGAATACCAGCGAGGAAGAGGCCTGGCTCTCTTTTATTCATGAGCCTTCGTTTTGAAGGCGAATCATGCGAGACAAATAGTGATGACGCCCGAATCATCACTTAGCGTCTATTTACTTTCATGGGCGAGGCTGGCACAAGCATTCTGACATTCAACGTTTTCTACCTCCTTTTATTGAAAGGCTTCATTCTTTTTTCTCTCAGTTTCTAGTTTATCCTTTTTTCAGCCACATTTACTGATTCCTCGAAGACATAATTCTTTCTTTCCGATCTTCAGTCGTTTATTTACTTTGAGATTTTTTCTTTCAATTTTTAAAAAAAAATTATTTTCATAAATCTCTGTCAATAATTTTTGTTAACTTTCTTTATTCAGTTTTATCCAGCTTCTTTTAATATTCAAATTCTATTTTCTTCATTATTTCTTTTCCTTTTCTATCTCTTCTCTTTTGAGTGACCTTTATTTATTTTATGATACCACCTCCCTTCTTAGTATTCAATCCCCTTTTATCTTCTAAATTTTGAAACATTTCTTCGTTTTCTTCCAGTGATTTTAGCTTTCATCGTTTAACCATTAAGTCATTCATTTTGCAATTGACTGTTTTATTCAGTTATTTTAATTTACTATCGTTAACTTTTTCCTTCCTTCCTGCCTTCCTTCCTGCCTTCCTTCCTTCCTTCCTTTTCAGTTGAAATCTTTCTTTTCCTTAATTCAACAATCATTTCCTCCCAACAGTCAAGCAAATATCTCACTTTTATTGCATCTTTTGCATCTAGCTCTTTTTTATTGCATCTTTTTCGTGAGACTGTTAACATTTTTAAAGCTCCAATGTAAAAAGCATCGCAACGAATCGAGGAAATTTTTACCAACATAAATATGCAATTTTCTAAAGAATTTATATTAATTTCTAAGTTATAGATGATATTGTGATGCATTTTGAATGAGGATACAAATAAAGTCTTCGAAAAGATGCCATGCTAGTATATATATATATATATATATATATATATATATATATATATATATATATATATATATATATATATATATAGGATTCATACTAAGGAGAATGAAAGTGAGATTTTACTACTTGATTTGAATTTGGAAATATTTGAAATCTAAAACTGAAGAATTAAGAAAGAAAATAATAATACTGAAAATAAAACGAGAAAGAAGAAATGAAAATAGAAGCTGTATACATAAAAAAATCGAAACGCACAATATGTTGTTTTCCCAGGCCGACCTCTATCCTTCAACCTCTTAAAAATGATCGACCTTCTTATAGTTTTCGAACAGTTTTCTTTCATCGATCTGTTGCCGGGAAACGATACGAACATGGTGGTAAGAAGGAAGCATTAGAAATAAGGGAGGTAATAACACCAGACTCAGTTGTTTAGATATAGGAGGCCTCTTCCTTCCGCTTCTCTCCCTTTTTGCTTTGTCATCCATTCAGATCTTTCTCCTTTCTTAATTGCAATCAATGAATACAAGTGAAAAACTTCAAGGAAATGACATTAATTATTTACACGTCATCTTATCTGATGTTTTCAGGAACGTTAATATATCAAACAAGAATTTGTTCAAAATATTTTGCGAACAACAATGATAATAAAGAAGACATTGATAATTCAGTGTATAAGGCAAACTATTTGCACAATTTACCTTATTCGGACTGTTGTCCACATCTTTGTTGCCATATTCACAACATTTCGGCCGTTGTACGCCCCGGCCTTCTTCAGGTGATTGGAATTTCGTTCACTGTTCTAGTTCCACGTGCCATACCTCTTCCTGGGTCAGTTATTTCCCTTTAACTCAACTCTCCAAGTTTTTTGTTCTAACAACAGTGTAAATAGTGTAAATAATTACAATATCTCATCTCAAAAAGATACGGGGTGATTGAAAAGTAACTCCCTATTATGATGCACTCTCCCCTCTTGTAAAAGTTATAGTTAGACGGGAGAGTCCATCATACATAAAATAGGGAATTACTTTTCATTCACCCGGTAGATAAAAGGCAATTGTCTAAAACAAATGAATTCTCCCCCAAATTGTTGGTTAAATTAAAGATGAGAGTAAAAGCGATTTTCTTACTATTTCGAAGTTTATTCAAATCATTTTTAAAAGAATTTTCCTAATGTATATAGTGTCTCAAAACGTAATAACTTTTTTTTCTTTGTCGTTAGTATGAATATTTATAAGCATGCATTTAATTTCATTGCGTGTATTGTGATTTAAAGAGAAGAGTTGGACTCTTCTCTTTAAATCACAATTTTTGGGGACATCATTATTTGCAAAGATTGCTTGTTGCTGTATCCGGTGTTGTGATCAATGTAAACAATTAAGTGAAGCAAATAAACGTGGATTGGCGACACACTGTTTTCCGTAGTTACTTTTATCAGGGTCTTCTTCTTCTTCTTCTTCTTCTTCTTCTTCTTCTTCTTCTTCTTCTTCTTCAGGATGTTGGCGATAATAGTTCTCTACAATTTCCTTTATAGCTCTTAGTGAATTTTATCTTTTTGCTATCTCTCTTGAATCTTGATCCGCCATTCATTCACTCAAATCATCCAGGTAGGTCATGCGTTGCTTTCTTCTGTCTCTCTTACCTTGAATCTGTCCTGTGAGTATCAAATTTTCCCAGCCCTTTTTCCTCATTATGTGCCCTAGAAAAGCATCAACTGTCTCTTCCTGATGGTGAGTATAAATGTCCTATTACTGCCATTGTCTCTAGAACTTCATCGTTGCTCACATGTTCGGTCCATAATATTCCTAATATCCTTCTGTAGAATATTTCTGTTGTTTCAAGTCACCTCTTTATTTTTGAGGAGATTGCTCAGCCTTCACTGCCATATAGGAGGACTGATATTCCATAACAGTTCAGTCGTCTTTTCTTTGTTTATAACGATATTTTCTTGTTTCTTAATACTTAGCTTAGTTTTTGGAAGGCACCTTTGGCTACCATACGCATTCAGATTTCAGTGTAGCCATTTCCGTCCTTTGTTAAAACGCTTGTCAGTTATTTAAATTGTTGTACTTGTTTGATTTTGTTATCTCCAATTTGTAATTTGCATGTTTGGCTGTTCCATTTTGCTAACAACCATGCATTCCATTTTCTTAAAGTTGAGATTTAGTAACGCCTTATATTTAATGATATGAAGCGAAATGATTTAATAGCTTTTGTTTAAAAATAACTTCGCATCCATTCAACATGTTAGGTTTTTATTGCTGATATACAACCGTCATGTTTCCCTGATCTAATATTTGAATGAATGAGGGAAATGCTGAAGGATTGACCGTCATATGGGCTGATATATTGACCGAATATTTAGTGCTGGTTCTTAATTCTCTCAGATGGTTAAGAAAACCGCGGTAGTGTTCCATTCAGCGTTTTGAACTTTTTAAGATATTAAATCGCTCTACAGCTTTGATTTTATTACTTGAAATTGAACACTTTTTAACGCATACGATTTTTGGAAACCACTATTTTAGAACAATAAAATATATATATATATATATATATATATATATATATATATACAAAGCTCTCTCAGTAAAATGAATTGTAGCACTCCGGCTGATTGGCATTTGTTTACATTCGTAAAAACTACGCTAGATTTAGTTGTTTCTCTCTGTCGAATGAAAATAGCTCACTGGTAGAAACTCTGACTGATCGGTTGGGTTTCGATCCAGGCTTGAAGTATTCGGATGTTTAGTCGCACTGAGGAGCTGTGATACAGTGAAACAGTACTGTCATGACATATATATATATATATATATATATATATATATATATATATATATATATATATATTCCTCATTGATTGAATCCGATACATACATACATACATACATACATGTAAGATGGCTGTCGAATCGTTAAACGAGTCTGGCCGTACAGTCATTGCTGACAAGTTTGGTCATTGCGTTATTGTTCTCGAGAACGACAATGGCTCTTGATACCAGCAGGAGACTTTGAAAATTTATAGCAGATGTTACAAACTAATTTGTTCTGTACAGTGCCTGGCTTGTTTTGTAAACTCTTTTCAGATTGCTCGTGGATTTTCATGTAATGAATCAGACCAGAGCAGTTTCTGTAGGTTTTCTGACACCACATGTTATTTACAGCGTATACAGATCGTAATGTCACACACACACACACACACACACACACACACACACACACACACACACACATATATATATATATATATATATATATATATATTGAGATTGAGAGAGAGGTGGAAAAAGGGGAATTTAAAAAAAAATTATCTATGATTTATGGTCTAAAGTCCACCATATCAGACGGTAGTTTCACCTACAAAGGTTCAAACTCTGTTGGACATTACATCCTCTTTATTAAGTCTCTCGAAGGCGCAGGCCGGTAGATGTAATTCACAGTGTAAAAAAAAATTCAGGGCGTTCAATCAAACATAGGTATCCACTAAGATCTCGTTACTCGTGTCAGTGACCAACAGAATGTCATAGTTAATGCTGGAAGACGGGTAAGGAGGAAATCTTACCAGCTGGTTACAATAACGGTAAATTGTTCACAGGCACACGATGAACCTTGATATGAATAAGTAAAACTGGCAGAGAAAAAGCGAGAACGTGAGAGGGAGAGAGAAAGTGAGAGAGAGAGTGGAAGAATGAGAGGGAGAAAGAAAGAGAGGGAAAGGGGAGAGAGGAGGAGAGGCAGAGCGAGAGAAAGTGAGAGAGAAGGAGAGAGAGAGAGAATAAGGGGGAGAGAGAGAGAGAAGGGAGAGAGAGGAAAGCTGAGTCATCATCCATTGTCCCAAGATTATTAGTATCATATAATCTTTTATATTTAACATAATAGGAAAGAACAGAAATAATTCTAACCAATGGACAAAAAAAAAAAAAAAACAAAGGCAGGAACCTATTGTTCATTGTTTGATTCGAACCATTTTTTGCTGTTTGTTCTGTTGATCAACATATTTCGATGACTGTAGAGTCCGATCTTGTTCAAGTGCGTCTTGGGTCAATATTAGTCCTTAAATCCAGCGAAAGTCACCCATGAAATAAAAATAACTGTTTGTACAGAAAGTAAGGACCTACGTACATTAAACCGTCTTTAAATTAAGTAGCAGTAGAAGAATTATCGTTGAACTTTTAAAAGATAAACTTAAATAAAAGATCTTTTATCACAATCTGGGACATTTAATAACAAAGAGGATGGAAACAAAAAAAAAAAAAAAGATCTAAATGAAATGTGTAGTCGCATCAAGGTTAAAAAGAAAAAAACTCTCATTCGATGAAGTCCAAAGGGACAAAATGCGTTATATGAAAACATTTCGTGATATACAGCTTACCCCCACCCCCACCCCAAATTGTTCTTGATATATAAAAATTTATATATCGTTATCCCATGCATACGTAGGAATAAAGCCACCAGGACGCAAAGTGTCCTAGTTGAGTGTTAGAGAATATGAGAAAAACTGCTATTAAGGAGAGAGAACAATAAAAGAACAAGAATTAAGAATCTGTCTATATTTCTGAGATGAGGTATTATGTACACTATTTACATTATTCGGACTATTGTGCTCATCTTTGTCGCCATATTTATTACATTATTTCGGCCGTTGTAGGAATAGACTGTTCTAGTTCCACGTGCCATGATTAAGGACACATGGCACAGTGGATAAAGGCGTTAGTTTCGTCCAGTGACAGGACCCAAAGAGTGTGAGTTAAATACCCGGTTAAGGCAGTGGAGAACTTGAAGAGGGGAATTAACAGGACATAACTGATAACTGACATCCATTAAACATGGCATGTGGAACTAGAACAGTCTACCCCAGTGAGCGAAATAAAGGATTCAGTTCGACATTCCGACGACCTGAAGAAGGCCGGAGCGTACAACGGCGGAAACGTTGTAATAAATATGGCGACAAAGATGAGGACAATAGTCCGAATAATGTAAATAGTGTCTTGGGTCAAGTGTAATATTTTGCTGTTAAATGCCAATTTCATGCCTTTCAACGAAAAGACATGATGACCAAAGTGATTAGAATTGTATTCTGAGAGAAATGATCATTCGAATATTTTAACTCATATCAAAAACACAAATGTCTGGTGGTTGTTGTTAAGGACTTAGTGACAATATGTCCTCTCAAATCTCGAGCACTTTTCCCTTATATTCCTAGAAGACCTCAATAAAGCCTTGGTCGGTATAGTTTAAACAATTTCTCAGATTTTCAACTCATCCAATTTTATGCACGCATGCACATACACATTCAGACGTACAAATTTAAACAAGTGTATTTTGAAAATGTAAGATACATAATAAGAAATAATATGTGGATAATATGTAGAAAAGATTTGATTTTATGCAAAGATGGAATATGTAGATATTTCTTTTAGTTTAGTCTGGAACAGTTCATATTTATTAAGCTTAGTATATGTGGCACAAGGTCATACGAATGAGTGAAAAACAATACGGAGGTGATGGTTTGAGAGATTAGCTCGTATTTTTCTAGAGTATCAAAATATATAAATATCTTTCAGATTTATTTCTAAATTGCAAAGATCCACCGTGGAATTTCTTAGAAATATACTAATAACAGAAACGACAAATATAACAGCAATAAACCGACAATCTGTCAAAGTCGATTACAACTTCAACCAATAAGAATTTAATCAGAGTTTTTATTCGAACTTCCAATGTAGAAAAACAAAGATAATATTGTCGCTTCACTCTAATATTAACCACATTAATGGGGGGGGGGACATTAAAACACTATTTTCTGTAGCAGAGAAATCAAATCAGGTTTCCTCTTTATATTGCCTCTTATGTTAACAAGCTGAATTATTTTTTTCTCATTTTTAAAATTATTTTTTAATTATTAATAAAGGGATGCACAGAAGTAATGACAATATTACTATGTAGGATATTTCCCATAATGCCTACACATTCGAAGGAATGACGTGTCATTCTTACGAAGAAGGTACAGAGAGTTGGAGCGAGAGCAAAGAGGAGTGACAGAGGAAAGAATGAAGAGAAGGATAGGGGATAGATCAGGGCATCTGGAGACGTTGATTGACATTACATTTGAATAATAGATTATAGCTATCAGGGAAACAGGAAACAGGCGAGAAGTGCGAGACATGAAGTAGAAGAAAGAGCTATATTTAACAGTTTCGACAGTGAAAGGGTGAGATCGAGATGCTAGCCTAGTAGAACGCTTAAATTCATGAAGCCTGGGAACCAGCGAAAGCAGCTCATCGGTGCAGTTACCGTGAAAGTATTTGTAAAAAAGACAGAGGGAGGCGACGGCACGGACGAGATGCCAGATCAGGGCCAATTACATTGCATATCCGTCTCTGGATCTTATCAAGAACCTTGCGGCAAACAGAAGGGACAGCAGACCATATATGGCAGCAATACTCAATGCAAGGGCGAATGGTTGATTTGTAGATTTGAAGGATCGATTCCGGCGAGAAAAATTTCCTGGTGCGGCACAGGGAGCCAACTTTCCTTGCGGTGGACGAAGCTATTGATTCAATGTATTTGTTCCATCCCAGGTCAGCAGTCAATGTGAGACCGAGTAGTCGCAAAGAGATGCTCTCGAGAAGTTGATCGTCAGACATTCTAATGAGGGGGGGGGGGGTATGGTTCTCTGTGGTGAGTAATAGCAGTTTTGTTTTTGAGGCGTTAAAGTTAACCAGCCAATTCCTGCCCCAGTCCACGACCGATTGGAGGTCCTTTTCGAGACGAACGGCTAGATTTGTTTTTGAGGCAGGAGTAAATTGTAGTGTCGTCCGCGTAGATGCCAATTTGGGAATCTATGACGTCAGGAAGATCGTTGATGAAAATAAGGAATAGAGTGGGGCCAAGGATGGAGCTTTGGGGAACACCTGCGTTCGTGGGATAGGAGCTGGAGGAGAATCTGTTGAGAACGACCTTTAATACACGGTTTGACAGGAATGATTGTATAAAATCAAACGATCGACCTGAAATTCCATAACCCTGAAGCTTGCGATGAAGGCCGGTATGCCAAACCCTATCAAACGCTTTGGAGATATCTAGAGCCACGGCATGAGCTTCTCCGTTATTATGAAGGGGATGGTAAACAATTTTAGTGATGGTCGTAAAAGTTGACTGAAACGACAAGAAATATGGTGCCATTAATTAATATTAATTAATATTAATTACATAAAGTTTACAATGGCAAATGTTTTGAACCTAAAAATTGAAAATAGTGTCATTATAACCATGACAAGTATTATTATTATTATTATTATTATTATTATTATTAATAGTAGTAGTAGTAGTAGTATTAAGGAGAGAATGTGTGTATGTATACGTGTGTGTGTGTGTTATCGTATGTTGTTTATGCATTTCCAGTTTTCATTCGATTCCGATGAAATTTTTTTTGTTTGATAGATAATTCTTCAGTGTCGGTTTTAAGTCTAAATTGTTAGCGACAATGGCTCTCCACTACTTCATTATAACTCTCAGCAACGTTTTACTATTCACTATCTGTTCTTGGATATATTTCATAAAAAGTTTAATCAAAATAGTTTAAATTATTACAATAATATTTATTATTACACAGTTAAATTTGTATAATTAATTATATTAATTATATAGATTAACGCCTCTTTAACTGCTGCTGTGAGTGAGGCTGAAACAAGACTGAGAACGCAAAAACGGCCCTTTTCAGGGCCACCCCCCATTTAAATTGTTAACCCTTTGGGGATTTGCCTCAGTTGTACCCAAATGTTGTTACTAATATTGATTTTTGGGTGGGCTGACTTTAAACTGCTCCAACTGAACAGTAAAAATTCCCAGTAATGAAAGACCCGATCGAAGACGGGTTATACTGCTAGTATTAATAAAAATGTCTGTTTCAGTTATAAAATTAGATCAACCATTGCATTTACCAACTGTTATAATTCTGCAAGACTGCACAGTATCCTGAATAATATTCCCAAATTCTTCTTTACAAGTAAATTGCCATCCAATAATGTAAATCTTCCTCGTCAAATGTAAATCTTCAAATGTAAATCTTCCTCTTCAAAATGCACGTCAAGTTTCCAGTTAGGTTTCGGTTGCGCGAAAAAGCTGGCTCCTTCATCAAATGAAACCAATTTTATTTAGAAATTATTTAGTTTTCTTCGCCTAACGTGATGGGCATTGTCATGTTAAAATATACTCACCTTTCTAAAAGGTATGTCTCCACGTGAGCCGTCAAAATCAATGCATATCTGGAACTTGCCATGGGCCAATCACTTCATAATCTATAAAATGCATTCGTACCACCTCCATCTTCTTGACCTTTCCACGCGTAACCATCCAGCCTTTGCTCCAGCTCACTGGCCCATCTAGAGTAGCACTGTATTCATCGGTGAAAGGAACGCTTGTGAAATTAGCCTTCATGTTCCATTTGATTTCTTTACCTTTTATATGAGGTCGACAATTCGATCTTTCATATTTTGTCATTTGATTATGGATATTTCCAACACGTTCCCGTTGTCATAATTAGTGGTGCAGTGTCATTGATGGTAATTAACCAATTGATTATTATTATTATTGTTATTATTATTATTGTCATCTCGGTGTCGCACATTGACATAGTCAATGGAAATTCTGTTCTTGAGAAATGGTGTCAACAGGACTCATGAAACCTCAAGAACTTTTCGGAGAATTCTCGCAGAGTGAATGATGGCAGTTTTCTTGAGTTCTACAATCTTGGTCTCAATTCCAATTCTTTCTAAATGCTCTTTCATTTCTCTTGGTGGTATTACAAGGAATTAGTTCTACATTGATA